TTTTTTTAACTTGAATAAAAAGAAAAAAGTAGAAAAATATATGTAAAGAAAAATAATAACTAGCAAAAATACCCCCAGAAAGCATGTATAATGTGGGAAACAAGGATTTCTCCCAAATCGTCTCCCCCAAATGTGTTAGACTTAAGACACTGCTTACAGCTAATGGTAAAAATTATTTCCCTTGAGGCAATCAGCTGCCAGACTGCTGATTGGGTGGGCCTGCTCCCTGTTGCTGGGGACAATGGACTACTTCTCCCTGAGGCTTGCAACCATTAGCTTGGTTCCTGTAAGTGGGGGTTACACCCTACTGGTAATGGTTCTTATGGAGATCCAGAGAACAGATCAAACCTACTCCTGGACATCCAAAGTTAGGCTGCCATCCTGAATCTAGGATCCGCCCATCTTGCCACATGTATACCCCCAATCCCTCCATTTCCTATTGCGTGTAAACCCCTAGACCACCCCCTCCCATTACTGCATTACCTATAGGACAACCCTTTCCTGTGACGTAGGTCTTTACCTGTAATTAGGAGGCTTGCATGTCCCCAGAGAATATAAAAGGCTTGGTTAACATTAAATATTTCTCTCTCTCCATGTGCACCACCAAGTGAGGCTGAGGTGAGCACTGCTACCATGAATTGTGTCTGACTCCATTATTTCAATCTCTCACTTCTATCTCTCATGCTCTCTATGACTTTACTATGATCTTTACTTATTATCGCTGTACAATTGTGCCTACTGGACCTGTAATGATGTGTTAGGCAAGTTCCCCTGGCAATATAATTCCAGGTCTGTCCACTTACCTCTATCTCCCCACTGGTCATGGGGGGTTCAGGAAACTGCCCTTCCTATCCTGAAGTCTGTTTTTGGGGCTCCTCATGGGCTTTGTGGGTTGGCTTTGCTCCTGTTACTGATTTGTTATATTCCCTTCTTGGTTTGCCCCGCTGTGGGGGGTTCAGACTGGACTCACTCCCTTCCGTGTGTCCCCAGTATTGTTTTCTGTCATGGTATGCTCCAGAGAGGGGTCATCATGTCTTGAACTGTTGTCTGCCCTACAGTCCTCTGTCCTGAATTCCATGTGTGAGAGCTCTTATCTGTACCAATGTGTGTACTCAGGTCTAGCCAGATTTGTAAGGTAGAACTGGGTCATAGTAGTGGGAGGGAGGAAGCATTCAGGAACTAGAGGAATGATGTGTGTTTCTTTGTTGCTATACCACACCCTGGTTGAATCATCCCTTCCTTGTAATCCTTCAGTGGGGGATGTCCAGTTCTCTATAGATGGGCTTTGGGTTTTCACTCCAACCCCTCATATTAACATTGATAAAATCGTTTGTTTTGTATCTTTTGATACCTGATACCTGAGGCTAATTTTCAATGGAAAAATTAATTTAGCATAAGGGCATCTTGTTCACTTTCAATAAATAATTTAAGTAAGAAATCATACAACTTTTGTCTAAAGGATATTTCCTTTTCGAACCTGTTTCTAGCTATTCTCTTTACAGAGTAAGTAAAACAAAAAGTATTGCTACAAAAATGTAGAGACCGTTATTTAAAATATCAAAATGTGAGTCTATTGCTCCTTCACATAGACTTCATCCATTTCTATACATTTCTG